ACTGTATATATAGTTTACAATAAATATCTGGACTGTCAAAATTCGACCCTGTTAGCAGAGAGGAAAAAAGCACAAAAAGAAAGAAGACAACGGTGAGTAGAAAACAAATGCAAAGAGACAAATACTAAAATGAGGACAGAGAATAATAAAGCAACATCTGATGGAAAGTGCCAAAGGACACACAACTAATGAAAATGTAAAATCGTTTTTCATATTCTTTCTACACCTATACATGTGTTCAGAGTTTTTTCCTTGTAAAAACAGCTATGTGCCCTAAAGGAAGCAAAGCTAATAGATGGCAGTGTGCAACTGCCACCCAGTGCGTCCATCTGTCAGCGCGTCCATTTTTGTTCATGTTTGCTTGTTTACGGCTCTTTGGTGATGCTCCAGAAGTCTCTGTAATTACTGCCAAGGGTAGACTTTGATGCACCCAGATATTCAGTCTACTGATAGGCCAAAATGGAAGCAGAGGTAAAGATGGAGAGTGGAGCACTATGGTCCACTTTCCGTAATGGCTGGTCACAGTTTTGTTGTTTGTAAAACGATTTAATCGGAACGCATTTAGGACACACCACAGACACAAACCTCCTGGTGCTCTGCATCCGCTTGTATAGATTTCCCTGAAGATCCCTTAATTTAACAGCTTCAGTTTTAATTGGACTGCGCTTTGTCTTGTCCCGTTTCTCAGCATCCCACTTAACACGGGAATAGATCAACCATATCAGCAATATCCAGTAAAGGTCACACAGTCACACCCAAGCATGTCGATACAAACACAAAACAAACACATGCCCTTTTAGACTGACCATACACACACTCTTACACACATATGCATTCCACAATCAATTTCCTGTTTTTATATTGTTGGTTGAACCCATTGCATTCCATTACTGGCTGATGTTAATTATGTGAGTTTTATGGATTAGAACCGCAGCACACTGAGAAGCCAATATTTAATTTCCTGTGTGGTATCAGTGCACTGTACTGACTACCAGGGATGAGACAGTTAAACGCTGACACAAATCAGTAAAGACGAGCAATGAGGCTGAATGTGAGGAAAATTAAACGCCACGAGAAAGTCTAAAACAAAAGAAGCAAGGTAAGTCCCTCACAGGTTAGAAATGAATTGTGTTTAAGCTCCAAGTTATCTGTAGGAGTTGAGATTTATCTGAAAACTGCTCACATTAAGTTTCACAGTTTGCAGCACATTGACACAGTTTTATTAGTCTGAAGCAGTCTTCATTCAGGTTTCTGAAAGCCTGAAGCTCGTCTCTATTTTCAGATTTACAAATGCAAACTGAGCATCGCAAACGTACGTGAAAAAAAATCCCAGAACCCAAGCTGCACTCATTCCAACTTTGCAACATGAATACAAGCAGCTACGTTGTGGGAGAGGCTATGAGACTGTGTTCAATGTTTCTCTATACCTGCTGCCACCTGATGCTATTTTCCGGAAACACAACATACCGTTTCACTTCTACGCCGACGACTGTCAAATTTACTTCGCCCTAAGACACAATGGCACATGCTCTATTCAACTTCTGCTCAACTGCCTGGCTGACATCAGGGACTGGATGGCTTTAAACTTCTTAAGTTTCAATGAAAAGAAGTCTGAAGCCATGTTGTTCCCTCCCAATGACACGATCACAAACCACTGCATTGACCTCTCCGCTCTAACCCTGTCGGAAAAACAAAGAGTCACTAATCTGGGAGTGATAATGGACCCTTCCCTGAAACTTAACAATCATGTAAACATGATTGTTAAATCATGTTTCTTCCAACTGAGGCGGCTGTCTAAACTGAAGCCCATATTGTCCAAAAATAACCTGGAGACAGTAATACATGCATTCATTACATCTAGGCTTGATTACTGCAATTCGCTCCTGTTTGGTATCAGTCAGACCTTCATTGCACGACTACAACTGGTCCAGAATGCAGCAGCCCGATTTTTAACCAGTACAGGCAAAAGAGAGCACATTACACCAGTTTTGGCCTCACTGCACTGGTTACCGGTTCACCTTAGAATCCAGTCCAAAATACTCCTGTATGTCTACAAATCGCTGAACAGTTTCGCACCCCCCCCCCCCCCATCTCTCTGATCTGCTACAACCGTATGTCCCACCACGTTCCCTGAGGTCAGCGGACCAGTTGCTCCTCACAGTTCCAGGAACTCGTCTTAAGCGCAAAGGGGACAGGGCCTTCTCTGTAGCAGGACCAAGACTTTGGAACGAGTTACCTCTGCTTGTCAGACAGGCCCCCTCCCTCTCGGTTTTCAAATCCCGTTTAAAAACTCATTACTATTCAGTAGCTTTCAACATCAGAGGATCTGTGTTTTGAACCTGTACGCTCCACACTGGTTTGTCGTCATATTTATTGTCTGCATCGTTTTTATGTCTATATTTTGGATTTACTTCATTTTGTATATTGCTTCATGTGTTGTCTGTTGTTCTGTCTGGACAGCACTTTGGTTTGCCTTGTCGCTGTTTTAAGTGCTCTATAAATAAAAAGGTATGGTATGGTAATGGTATTAATAAAAAATGTTATTACCTAACATGAATGTTTTATAACGAGGTTGCCAACATTTCTGGAGAAAACAAGTTAAAAGACAAACTGCACACAAAAAGGCCATTAAAACTCATTTTTGAACTGTAGAGCAACAGTTTTACTACTAAATAAGCTAGGTGCACTGGTTGATCAACTATATTAAGCAAAGGAAAAAAAAACTGTTTTCTTGTTCATGCATTGTTCAGTCCTACTATTCCATAAAAGTTTTTTTTTCACTTAAAGTAGGTAACATGTTGCTTGCAAATCTGAAACACACAAATCACATGTTTTAGACAACTTTTCCCCTGACCTTTCAATTCTTTCTTATATTTGAAATAATATATAACTGATATCTGTGTTCAACTGATGAATATTTGTCCACAAATGAGGTCTTTTTGGTTTAACATCACAGGAAAAGTTGTTCCAAGACCAAAGGTGTCATTTTATTGCCCTTTTTCATTTAAGACCTGGAAATAATACTTTTTTCATTCCCCTTTTGTTTACAAGAAGACATTTTTATTTTCTGCTTAAGCCCTGTGGCACATAATACTCAGCATATTCTTTACCTCATAGTCTAAATCTAGATGATCAAACTCTCCGTTGGTTCTGAAGTGCTGAGTGTGTCCATCCAAGGTGAAGTTGACATTGCGACGGTAGCGCTCAATCATCACTAAGTGCCAGTGGTTGTCATCCAAGAGACTGCCAGTGGTCACGGAGGTATGCCCCAGGATGGAGCCATACTGGTTACTGCCTGTAAAAAACATTCAGGTGTAAGAGTTATGAAATGCCACTGAGGACTGTGACAGTGGGGTGGTTAGAGATTAAGACCCAAGAATGCAGACAGCATGTAGAAGGATGGCTGGTAATTGAAAATATATATATATATTCATTTAAACTAAACTAAACCAATATAGGCAGATTTGACAAAAACCAGAGCTGAGACAAGACAAGATTTATATACAAGGAACGGCAATGTTTGCAATGTTGCATTTACATGTTACGTGTTTGTAAGATTATCTTCTTTTTACATCTATTAGAATGCAAAATATAAAATATTTTGAATATGACAGGTATAACTTTGTAAAACAACGGCTCAAATTGTTATTTTCCTTTCAATACATAGACTGCCTTATTGTTTTTGTCAATTAAATGGATTGACTGTACTTAGCACCTTACCATCTTATCCAGATACTAAAATCTCTTTACAACACAATCTGTGCCCTTATTTACCCATTCATACAGCACTTTACTACATCTATACAGATAATAATCAGTGTTTTGGATCTCATTCATACACCGATGGGACACACTGGAGGCAATGAGGGGTTCAGTGTCTTGCTCAGGGACACTTTGGCATGTGACTACAGGTGGAATCCAACGCCCAGCTCTTGCATTGGAGGATGACTGCTCTAACCACTCAGCCACAGTCGCCCCGATTAGTTAACTAGTTGGCAGCACAGAAGCTTGAGCAGGTGATCAGAAGGTTGCTGGTTCAATATCCCAGACCGACAACATCAAAAAGTCAGTGGGAAAGGTGAAACACCCACATTTTTCCCATTCTGGGTCCTTAAGCAAGGTCCTTAACCCCCACCATCTGCTCCCTGGGTGCCCTAGACAGCAGCTCTCTGCTCCACACAGAGGCTGTGGAAGCTCGGTGGTCTGTGGTTGCGTCAGGAAGGGCATCCGGCGTAAAAATAATTCCCAAGTTTTCGTGTGAGTTAGTTCACTGTGGGGACCCCTGAAGAAGGGATCAGCAGAAAAAAAAAAGTTGGAAACAACCAATGGAAAAAACATATATATGTTTTTCTTTACTTGTACATGTTTAGATTTACTTTTACCTCACAGGAGCCGTCGATCCAGAATAAGTTAAAATGTTGACTTTAATTAATTTCAATTCATTTCAAAAATACTTTATTAATCACAAAGGTTGTAACCTTCAAGTTGTTGTAACTCATTATCCTTGTTTCATTAAGAGATGTTGTAGATACTGATGACTGTAGGCAGGAAGGATCTCATGTAAAGGTCAGTCCCACAGTGGATCTGAAGAAACTGTCCGCAGATGCTGTCCTATCCGTCCACCCAGACTTGGCTGGCCTCTCAGTTCCCCTGGGCTGCAGAACCACCAGAATACCAGGCAGAACTCCTCCCAGCAGCCTGTTGAGCTCCTCGTCGCTGCGGACAGCTGGCTGCAGGTGCCGAGGGATGATCCTGTCCATCTGCTGTCATGAGTCGTGTTTCCTGCCATTTCCAGGATCTCAGTGGTCAGGCACTCGAGCAAAGCAGGCAGGGAGATGGGAATGCATCCACAGAGCCTCCTTTTCAACTCATTTGAGATTTGGTGCTGTAGTTGAGATATTATTTGAGCTTTTGAGATGTTAATCAGCTGCTCCCGGTTGTAAAAAAAAAACACCTTGTCATGATTACACTTCATAACAAATGTCCAAAAGTAAAAAAGTTTCAGTAAAAATCCTCCCAGCTGCACAGCATCTGATACCAGAGGAAACAATCATCCAAAAAAAAAAAGAAAAAAAAGAAGTGATTTACATCTAGAAAAAGAGGAATTAAAGTTTCCAAAAACAAAATCTCTGAATGAATGGAACAGAGCTACCCCAGCATGCAGCGGTGCAATTCTAGAACTTCCAGAACAATAGTGTAAATTCTGTTGATCTTATTCTATTAAAGGGTAATAAGCAGAATTACTGTTGATTCTCTATCACCAATATTAATTAACTTCCTTTTAATATTATGGTTTTACAAATGTATTTTGCATTTTTAACTGTTCTCTGGTCACGACTGATACAAAGGTACCTACATTTAATGTTCTCTTCCATTCAGCAAGAGAACGCGTTATTTTCTTTAGTTTTATGAGTCAACACATTTGCTGCTCACCCAGGTTTATCTGCAGTTGTAACTTGGCCTTGCGAAGTTCCAGGGTGATGTAGTCCCCCTGCTGACCCTCCCCATGGAGAATGATGCCCTCATTTTCTGACGTCTTAAACCTCAGCGCGATCACATCCTTAATTATCTTCATCTTCTTAACCTGCACAAATAATAAAACCACCATCCATGCAAGGTTATTCACCCCATACATGGCACAATATCGAGAAATTTTTGACTTTGAATCATTTGACAAATTATTGCATGTGATAGAATAATTATATTTGTTTCTATGCAAAGTATTGAGGATTAAAACAAAATATGTACCTTAAACCTGTATGATATTACCCCCTGCCCATCAAAGTTGATAACATCTGCCCCTGCAAGAGACCAGCAACAGGCATATGATTAGAGCAAATTAAAATATTGATTGCTGATTTTAATTACACAATATGCACAAACACACAAATCTAATGGTCGTAAACAAAAACTGGACTTTAAAGTTGAGTACCTCCTTACATCTACCATCCCTTAAAAGTATGAAGTATATAGTACAATAGAAGTATAATAACTCCTACAAAAAAATTTGTGTTACAGTTTATTGAAGGAAAGACTTATCGGGGGAATTTTGGTCAAGGTCAAGGATGTTTGTCACTAATGTTAACTGCCCATGAACCATGTGTTTGAGTTAGCAGAGAGAGCTGAATGAGGAGCTGCTTTGATAATGCATGTGCAGCCGGTACGCCACAGTCGCCTCTGAGTCTGGAAGAAAAGCTGATAAGTGTGTATTATTAAAAAGGATCCTGGCACGCTGTCCAATGCAGATCTTCACAACGGGGGCTTCAATGTAACATCTGTGTAAACCTATGTGAACTTTGCCCTTGCAAGTAAACTGGGTTTACGTGGGCGTGGCAGGACAATGGAACAAACTGGACAATGGAAAATAATCACAACCAAACACCAACAAGAAGTCTGAAAAGATAAAAAGAAAGAAACAGCAGCATGGAAACAATAAAATAAAACAAAACACCAAATCCATAAATCTATCAAACAGAGAATACAAAGAATCATGGATCATGACAATTTTACCTGAAGGAATGTTCATGTCCCGCTACATTTCATGCCAGAGTTTTGGTCTAAGATCATTTCATGTTGTAGACATTTTGGCCAAACCTTTAAAATAATGTTCCGTCCCATATTTTTAGATATAATGAGATGTCATGCTCACAGTAAGTGCAAGTACTATATTGTATTTCTTACATTTACATTACCCTAATTCCTGTAGACAAACTTTCCAATGGGTATTTAAATACATTAAAGACTGATGAATGTTACTTTCTCCAGATCTTTATGTCTAAATCATATTTTATGTCTCTACTTGTAGATATTGGCTTCTCACAAAGTGAGTAATAATACCCAATGGTTCGGGATTCAAATACTGTAGTGTGGTTGAGTATTTACCATTGATTCCGAATCGTTGAGGTTAAAAAAGAGACCGAGACTCAGAAGGAACAAAGTGTAGTGCTTCAGACACGTATTCGATCTTTCTATCATCACCAAGTTTTCAAGTGGTTTGTGGAGAGAACATTTGTGCATGTGTGTGATTTTACAGGTTGGAGATGGTAGAGGAAGAACGTACAGGACATGATGGTATAACAGCTTGAGAAAGATTTGATCAGCACACACACAGTTCCACTCATGCACAGTCATGCTGTTCTCATTCCAAAGTGCTTTCTTGGTTTGCCACTTATACATAAGACAAGCATAGTAAGCATGCCTGATAAACATCCTCCACCAAATCCACTTGTATCCTTCTCTGATACTCCCGTCTCTATAACCCTTCTTTTGTGCTCCATGTTTAATTTTCATCCTTGTTTCTATTGTTTCACCTCCTGTAATATGGCACAGGCACCTTCCAAATGTTATATGATAATATGGATCTGATGGTGCAGAAACGGGGATTCATCTTTTATTGATGTCACAAGGAAGATTATAATGAGCATTTTGTGAGGATGGAGGAATTAACTACTCACAAAAAGCCAGGAGGGAGAGTTCAGTGTGATTCAGAAAAGGTTTAATGCGAAGCAATTAACACATAAATAGAAAATCCCACATTCGTTGCACATATTACTTTGATCCTGTACAGTTTAACATTTACAGTAAATGTCTACACGTGAATACAGATGTATCGATGCGTGATCCTGTTAAACATACTTATGTGAGCCGTATCGATCAGAGTCGACTGTTTGCAATTAATTCACCCCAGACAGATATTTACTTGCAGGTGTGAACAGGTCCTTAAACAGATGTTGTCTGTTGGCGCCATTAGGTGTCAGGTTTAAAGTCAGCAGTGACACACAGCTTGTATTCTTTTGAAATTCCACATGTACAAGAGCCCTTACATTTTTACTCTATTTTTGTCTGACCCTTTTTTACTTTACACACTAGCTCTATTATTTTTTGTTTCCTCTCAGAAATAATACATTTTCCTGTTGATTTTTGCATTAATGGAAATGAGCATGTAAATTCCACAGCACGATGGATCAAGTCTCCTTTATGGCGTCTAGTTCTGGCACAGACACACGCAAATGTACATGAACACACATTCCTTGTGACTGCATATTCTTAGATGAGTCATAATATGGCATTGCATTTAATTATCACTCGTTTCCAAACCCCAGAATTACCATCTACAGCCAGCAGTTTTAGTGATTATGCCATGAACTCCACGTCTAAATTTATCTGCCTCCTTCTCCTCCCACTTCTCTTTTGTGCTTATCTCTTTCATCCGTTTGTTTGTCATATAGCCCCGCACTGTACCTTTCCTCTCTTTCATCTTCCGTTTGGGAAGCAGAAAAAACATTTGCGAGGCGCTGATTTTGAGAGAACTGAGGAGTCGGGGAGTGAGGGATAGGACGAACAGACAAATGTATGTGTTCTCATTTTCTGACTGAATGCTGAAGAAAGGAACAGTGACAGGGTAATCATGAGAAAGCACCGCGGGCTTCAAAACTCAACTGACAGACATCTTTGAAATATGATGCATCTGACCAGGGGAAGTGTGTGCATGTGTGTGTGTGTGTGTGACAAAGAGCGATAGCTAGAGATAAAGAAAGAGAGAAAGTGTTTATTCTTCAATGTTATCACTGATATTCCAGTTGTTAGCATGTGTTTACCTGATTTTGTGTTTTATTATCTAACAGATGTGAAGGTGTAGTGGGAAACATTCGCAACTGTCAGAAACAAACTCTAAGCTCATGTGGGACTAGACACAGATGTTTTCTAATATAAAAAGTACATCAGTGTTATTGGGGCAAGCTATACCGGTTGCATTAATTTTTATTGTCCAACTCCAAAGTAGTTGATAATATTTTTGCACATCTGTGTATGTGTCTGTATTGTTTGAGCGCAATCACTGGGTGTAGCTCTACAACTGAATAATTTTTGGAGTCAACCCAATTCAAGGCGACCACCACAGCCAACTGAACTTATCCAACACAAAAAGGGCTATACTGTAACGCATTAAGTTCTACAAAAGTTGAGCTAAAATCTGATGTGGTTGCAGCTGGCAGTTGTCAACAACACAAACTCTGAGCGTACACACAATAAACAGCCATAAAATACATATAAAATGAAAAGTAAATAAAAGTAGTGATGTGAAACAAAATAAAATCAAGCTACATTATGAAACGGGGTAAAATATTAAAAACAGGAACACGTCTGTGTTGATTTTTGCCATGAACTTAACAATTGTTCAAAATCCCTTAGAGAGGTCAAAGTCGACGCTTCAGATCTTTTTGCAAGGTGTTCCAGGAAACAGGAGCGGAGTAAGAAAAGGCCTTTTGGCCTAATTCAGTCTGCACTGAGGGGACGCTGCAGGTAATGTCTTGAAAGTGCACGCTGTAGCTGCACTCATGCAGTGACATATAGGAGGAGATATACGAAGGCAGCAGACCAAAAAGTGATTTAAAGATGAAACGGTACCAGTGTGAGAGTCTGTGGGAGGTAAATGATGACCAGTTAACCAGTGAATACTGGGTGCAGTAGTAGTTGCTGCCAATTATGAATCTTAGCGTGCCGTGGTAGACAGCGTCCAACATCTGCAAGGAGCTTGCATGAGCGTTCGTATAAATACAGTCAATGGCCGGAAGCCAAGTAGCAGCTACAAGGTGTTTCCTAGCATTCAGAGTTAAGCAAGATCTATTTCTGAAAACGAAACCCAGTTTTAATTTCAGTTTCTTTATTAACTTTTCAACATAAAGAGAGATGTGCATCAACCAGGATACCAGAGTATTTGTAAGAATCCACAAACTCAACAGGAACACCATTCATAGATGGGAAAGGAGGAAGGACTGTTGGTACCAACTTCCTGTTTGAAAACAACATCCCTTTGGTTTTATCAGCATTTAGCACCAGTTTGAGATGGAACAAATCAGACTGGATGATGTCGAATGAATACTGTAGAAGCTTAGCAACTGTTTTAGCACAACAATAAACAACTGTATTGTAGGCACAGCAATGCAAGCATGCATCAGGAATGTTTTGACCTACTTTACTTACTGTATGTAGATTATGAAGTGAGTGGGTCCCAAGACTGAGCCTTGTGGTACGCCATTATTTAAAATATTTAGAATATTGCATGGTATTGCACAAGGCATTAACAAGGTTTGAAAAAACAACTGTAACTCCATATTTTCTAAACACAAGACAATCTTTGTCTAAAACTCTGGCATGAAAGGTGACGGGTGATATGCATTCCTTTAAGGAACGCTAGACCTTTTAGTTTTATTATGCAGTGTACTACTATCTAAAATGAATCATTGTTATTAAATAGGTTACATACTGTGTATTCTTTCAGGAAGTAACTGTATATTAAAAATGCTTCTGTCTTGCATGTTTTTTCCCAGAGACAATGCTGAACAGTTTTTACTAGTTTTCCCATTGTATAAAGTAAACTGGTAACCACTTCAGACAGCAGGTGTACAATGTGTAGGTACAGAATGTGTCTGAAACTGGGCAAAATGTGTCTCTGACACAAAAAACTACAGGTGTTTGTCAGCCAATTTCATGTTTTGTAACCAACTGTGTTTCTACATTTGCTAAACTTGACAAGTTCATATTGAGGAGAATTGTTGAAAATACAAACATTGATTAAAAATTACGAAACCATCTCTGTTAATGGTGTTTTAGTTTTGAAGCCCATAAAAGACTTCTTCATAGAACAATCTGAAGCATCAGAAGTCTGTTATTTCCAAGGTGAATATTCAAAATATAAACCTGAAAGGAGACGGATGTCTGTTTTTATCAAAAATTATTTTGTGCGCTTTTGTGTGGGTTTGTGTTCGTGTGCAAAGTGTCGTGCAACTTGTCGTCCTTATCGTTACTGACTTGCTTCTTTTGACGAGGGAAGGAAATGAAACAAGGGAAATGTAATCAGTGAAGCTGAGGACTGACTTGAATACAATGCATGCCCTTGTATTCGCACACATACAGTCACGTGAAGTCACAAGCCAATCCACACACTGCTTAACCGCATCTCCAAAATGAAAGATGTACGCGTGACACTTATAGCAGTAATTTATGCAGAGCCGTAATTGAAATTGTTATCAAAATCAATTTGGCAGCCTTTAATAGGATGAGTGCAAAGAGGCAGCGAGAGAGGAAGCTCCCTGGATAATGCATTGGCTAGAAAGACAGTTGACGACTGTTGGTGTGTCTGCATTTGTTTTCCAGTCTGAAATGGTGCGTTGCGTTCTTGTTTTGTTAGTTATTAGTTAAATAATTTAATGATTAGAATTTGTTTTAAACAATGAAAACAACAACAAAAGCTGGATCAAATAAAGCAGTCAGAAATACAAATCAGTCTGCAAGCTTCACTCTGTAACTGGACCTCCTGTCAGGAGGAAAACAGGTTATTGTTGATGTTAGGAGGGCACGTTGTATCACACTGAGCACAGGAGCCCCTCGTGTTTTCATTCTTCACTTTGCTGACACGTGACTGTGCTGCTTAATTCAGCACAAAATAACTCAATAAAAACTCTTCTCTCATGATTAACAGTGGGAGAACTCATTAACATGCAGTTTAAAGCTTGGCACTTCACACTCTCCAGGTTTTAATATTAATAGCTCCTTAGATGAGCAGTGAAACATTTTTGAGTACACAGCAGAAGCTCAGTTGCTTTGTTTTATAGATAGAAAGATATATAGCTATTTAGATAGATATTATAACAGCATAATGATGATACTTTATGTACAAAAACAATGTTTTGGAATGTGTTTGCCTTCACTCACAGTAAGAGCATCCATAAACTTCTATCCGGAGACCAATACGTCCCTCTTCACTCCAGGCCAAAGGGATGAGCCTCAGGAAGCGAGCCACAATTCCCTGCTGCAAATCATGGCGAACTGCACTTTCTGAGTTGGAGTTTCCAGAGAAGGCCTGTGAAACCAGAGAGACAGTAATTAAACACATTTAAGCTGCAAACACACACTCAAACAAATACCTTCAGGAATAAGGACTAGAGTATTTGTCCCTAGCACTAGTCCATAACCGTAAAATACAAACTCATAAATAACACATTGTAATTATCATGAGTCTACATCTAAAATACCCAACACCGTTCAACTGTGGAGGAAAATAGAATAAAATTGTTTATCACATTAAAAATGCCTGTTTGTCAATTTTTATTTAGTTTTATTACTAAGTTCCACATTATGAATCTTGCCATAATATCACTGTGCTGCCAAATACCAAATTCCCCAAACAATGACCATAATAAAAATAAAAAGTGGTGCCAGAAATACAAGGCAAGCAGTCGGCGCTTTTAAGGAAGCATCTAAAACAGAAATGCAATGAACATGACGCAGGCTATGAAAGAGGCTTGTTCTTTATTGGTGCTTTAAATGCAAATATTAAAAGTTACTTTGGTCAGTGCAATTGACTTTATCTGCTGTCAGTTCCAGTGACATCAAAACCAAACCAGAGTTAGTGATTGGTGAGCATCATGCATACGTAAACTTTTCCTACAAGTTTAGTGTCAGTAAACAATAAATTTGCCTTTACGTACATCAGTGGTATTTTCTATGTACTGCTGAATAACTGAGTTAACAAATGAGTTGTTATATAAAGTAAAAAGAAAAATAACATTTCTAACGCAATGTGTATGTATACTAGTGGCAAAAGTTGTGCATCTACTAGCCCAAATGTTTGTGGGAGTTAAAAGGGAGTTGTATTACCTTGACTTGCTACATTCCAACAGACAATTTAATATATTCCTATATTGTGAATTGCTAAAGTTTGCCCATCAGTTTGACACACTTTGCAGAACCATGCTAGGTGAGATGACGTACAAAACAGTGACTTGCAATGAGAAAAGCAACATGAACAAACCAAAAGGTGATGCAGAAACGACTAAATAAACACAAGAGTACCTTAAAATACATGAATATATGTTTTCTGTTGCTACTTGAGCTGAAACAACAGTGAGGATGCTGGTGGCAGGACTAACAGTGACAATGAGTGTGACAGGCACCGTGACACAAAGCAGCAGGAATATCCCCCAAAGACCAGGCGGGAAAACAAAAGTGACATGGGAAGGTTGACAAAGATGACACGGCTTGTTGGGCTTGCTTCATGAGGATGTAAGATGATGTCGCTAACAGACACTCAGGGAATCACAAGATATAAATGTAACTGCTCCTTATTTGTTTTCTGTTTGCTTTTCAAACCGTGATTTACATAAATAGAGGCTTGATTACTACATTATTGAGATTTTATAGTATAGATAGGTGTGTTCCATGTTCTCTAACATAGAGTTTGGGTTACCTTTAAACTTTGTTACACACTGTAGTACATACTTCCTTCACAAAAAGTACTTTACTTGGGTTAAAACAATTACATTAAATAGCTGTTGATATGTTAGATTTCTGTTCTCTACATCATGTTAGTTTTAATCAACCTGTGAATGTTGGAAATACTGTCCCATTCAAATAAATTCACTTTATGACAACTGGTTGGTTATGACGTGGTTAACCTTGAGTGAGCGCTTCAATGGAAAAAAAAAAGCACACGTTTATAGTTAGTAAAGTAAAATTCACTTTTAGGGCTTTATTTTTCCACAAGCGTGGTTGCATGTTTCCCTTTTGGTTTGGTTCCTCTACAAGGAACTTTAGGATGCAGATCACAGGTGTCTAATTTGGTCTTGATCTTTATTTTCAGGTCAGCTGCCCTTGTTTCCAGTTCATCAAGGGCTTTTCAGTACTGGCTCTGATGGTGGTGATGCTGATATATCCCCCTTGACCTGACTTGCCATGGATCCCCTTTGTTATAGAGCCTCGTAAATCTTTTGGTGTGATAGCAGATTTTTCTCGAGATTGTTGGAACACTGGGTCTAAAGTTGTCTGAGTACATCTGGATGTTGAATTTCAAACTTTGTAAAGTTCCTACATCTTTCCCATATAAACTCCTCCCTCCAGCATGGGTTGTAGCTTTGCAAATATGTAATCTCTATCCCCGTTCGTGAACGTCTCATTGCAGTATCCCATTTTCCATCAGAATGTCCTTGGTCTCCAACATGTGATGTGGATATTATATTAAGGTATCTCTTGTTTATGTAATATACTGCTCTCTGTCACCCACTAAAATATTTATTTCATAAGGGGTTGATCAAGATATTTTCTGGTTGCTTCCTGAGTCTATTCAGCACAAAGCCTTGCGTCTAATTTCTAACAACTGCCATTTTTTTTGTCGGATCGATTTTATGCACATCATCTCTGACTTTAAAACCACAGATGCTAATAATCAGACAAAAAACAAGATATTTTACATAAAGACAACAAATCAAGCAGCAATGTCTTGGTGGCCTTGTCCATTTCCCATACATAACCCGTGATTAGAACATGTCCAAACTGTTTTATCTTCATCGCAGCATGACAGTCTTTATGTGTTGTTTCATGCATCATTGCTGTAAGTGGATTGGATGCCAGATCAAATAACTGGCTGCCGGAGTGAATCTCCTGACATCATGTTCAATCTCGTGTTTTGATTTATATATGACTTTTACCTGGAGGTTTGTGGTGTGGTGGCTGTGAAGCGAAGGTTGAACATGTGACTGAAGGGTTCAAACATTGCTCAAATGTTTTTACACAGTGGAAAAAGCAAAACAAGACAACCTTCTTAGAAACACAAAGAATAAAAAATCTCATAAAATACCACACTGATTGTGACCTTTCTAAACAACTTGTTTTATTTTCTTCTGTTTAGCATCTTCACTTGACCCAACACGCGAACCTCTTACTTCCCACTAATCCACCTCACCCCAATCCCCAAACTATTTTCACTTCTGTGCTTTTGCCTCCTCTGTGAAACAAACATGCACACAACAGCCGGATCCCCGAGCTATTATTCTACACACACATGCACAGAACATCTGGTGTAAACCACTGGAGAGAAATATCATTAATACCAGCGTTGGTAACTAGAGAGCAATGCACCAAGCAGACATGTGGGCAGGGCTGAGGATGAGTGTGGCAGGAGAGAAAAACCGCTCCAACAGTCGGCTTTGGCCTGACTCTTCAGTGACCCAAGAACGTACCCCTGAAGATATGTTATCTGCAAAGGAAGAGATGGTCAAGAGTTCACAGTGAGCTCAGAGCTCCGGAACATCCACTGTTCCTCGCTTTTATTCTGAATCCTTACCCTTTATCTGGGAAAGGTTAACTGAAAACACACACTGTTATTAGCATCCTGTTTTAGGTTTACACAGCTCCACATGAGTCATACGGAGCCTTTTGGAATACTTTGACTGCAGCTTTTACTCTCTGCAGGTGCTCACATCCTGGAGATCTGGGTTAAGTGACTTACTCAGTGGTAGTACGGTGTTTTGAAGAGGGCTGCAACACTCGCAGAGTTCTGTGGGAATGTCACCAACAGTGAAAAATTGTTTTTGTAGTAAAAAAGGGAGTGCCTGTTAGTCATGTGGCAATCAAGCCTATTCAGTAGAAAATACCATGTTCTCAGTTTTTAAATACAATTTTGTCTTAATTCTGAAAAAAGAAAAACTCTTGTGACTGATTGAGCCAAAGCTATATTTGATAGTTGCCTGAATGTGGTTAGAAAATATACAGTTGTGTAAAAATACTCATCTGAGCTCAAAAAGCATCTCTGCTCATATCAAGAGAACATTGAAAACTGAAAACATTTTTCCAACAATGTGCAGTCAGGTCATCTGGACAGTTCCTTTTTTTTGTTGTTGAGAGATGTTTCACCCTTCATCTGAAAGGCTTCATCAATCTGAGAAGTGTCATACAAACTGTTTTACCCTCCAAGCAGTACACTCCTACAGTGGACCAACCAGTTTGCTGGTGATAAGATGGTTTCTGGGGGCCATCCTCTCCCTCATCGACTCCTCCCAGGCAACCACAGCCAAAGTGGTTCAAGACATCAAAGTTCATGCTCAATAATCCAGGTAAAGAAATCCAACAATGTGCAGTCAGGTCATCTGGACAGTTCCATTTTTTGTTGATAGATGTTTCTCAGATTGATGAAGCCCTTCGGATGGAGGGTGAAACGTCTCTTTAAAAAAAAAAAAAAGAAACTGTCTAGATGACCCGACTTCACATTGCGGGATTTCTATACCTGGATTATTGAACATAAACTTTGATGAACACATTTTTATTTTGCAATACACCGACAGTTAATCTATTTCCACACAATGATTCCCACAGTGTTTTTCTGTTAAACCTAAAGTCAGACTTTGTAGAGGGGTACTTTAGAAACAAGGGCACTTTAACATACAGACTGAAAGAACCAGGTATCAAACCCTCAAATTGCTGATGTCCATCATTCTTGTGTCTGAAGAGGTCTCCAGTCCATCACAGGGACACACAGAAACAAACGAGACAACCATTCATTCTTTCTCTCACCTAGGGACAATTTAGAGTTACCAATCAGCCTAACATGCATGTTTTTGGTATGTGGGAGAAAATGGGAGTACCTGGAGAAAGCACACGCAGCATGGAGAGAACATGCAAAGTCCACCCAGAAAGGTCCCTGGGGTCGAGATTCGATCCCACACCTGCTCACTAAGAAGGAACAGCTCTACCAACTGCACCACCGTGCTACCTCCTACTTCAGTTCTCAGTGCTTTTTGTCCAGAACCATAAAAGTCTCAAATTTTAAAATGTATGTGTCCAATAGTGGGAGCATACAGAGACCAAGCCACAAGAAGGCCAGCTTGTCATTTTAGCAGCTCTGCAGTGTTAAAATATTATGTTACTAAAACTTATTTCATGGTTGAAAACATAAATAATGGAGGATAAAACAAGACAAAGGGTATTGAATATTTTCAGAGGCTTTGGGCTAACTGCTTTTGGAAGACTTCTTTTTGTCCAACACACTTTTTTCCCCTTTGCCCTTGTCAATTCAACGAAGAGAGAGAG